TTTAGCTCAGCGGCAAAAGCGCCTGCCTGGCAAGCGCAAGGTCGTGAGTTCGGTTCCTGGTACCGGAGAAAAACCAAAAAAAAAAAAAAAAGAACACAAGCAACCCAGTTAAAAAATAACAAAACAACCTGAACCAATTTCACTAAAGCACAACAACAAAAAAGCAAAAAGCATGTGGCTGGCTGCTGACTGCCACACACTGAGACAGTGCAAGTGACACCCACGATCACTGACACACACACCTACTAGACAAAATAAAGAATACCGACACCACCAGGTGCTGCTGACAAAGTGGAGCAACAGGAACGCTTCTGCATTGCTAGTGGGGTGGAAAACGGTACAACCAAGGCCAGGCATGTTGGTACAGGCCAGTCATTCCAGCATTTGGGAGGCTGAGGCAGGAGGATCACCTGGAGTTCCAGGCCAGCTTTGGCTACAAAGTTAGCCTGAACTATGTAGTGAGAACATGAAAGAAAGGAAAGAAAGGAAAGAAAGGAAAGAAAGAAGGAAAGAAAAGAAAGAAAAAAAGAAGCAAAGAAAGAAAGAAAGAAAAAGGAAAAAAGAAGAAAGAAAGAGAAAGAGAAAGAGAAAGAGGAAGAGAAAGAGAGGAAGAGAGACCCACTTGAGAAAAGAGGTTGCTGCTGTGCATGGACCTTGTGGCCAGCAGTTTCACGTGTGGCTGTTTGACAGATGAGAAGGAAACGCACGTCCGTACAAAAACGTCTCCCTGAGAACACAGGGCTGCTCCCTGCATCGCGGCCCCAAGCTAGAACCTCCACTGCCCCTCGGCTAGGAGATGGCTACGTAAATTGTTGTATCACTGAAAGTCACTCCATGACCCCTCAGGAAACAGCGGCAGAGTCAGCCACAACTTGATGGAATCTCGGAGACCCCACGCGGAGAGAAAGAAGCCGACCTCAGGAGGGCGCTCACTGGTTCCTCATGTCCGAGACTCCCCGAGAGATCAACCCGTGGCGACAGAGGCCGGGCCAGCAGTGGCCAGGGACCGTGGCGGTGGTGGGGAGGCCCTGGCTGTGCAGAAATACCACGAGGGCTTCTTCAGGGTGGTGTCCTGTGTGTCCTGCTTGTGGGGACAATGACAGGAATCTACACGCCTGTCCTACCTCACAGTCCTGTATACCCAAAAAGTCTATTTCACTCCGCATTAACTTTAAAAAATACTACCAAGTACAAGTGAGCGTGGAAAGCCGAGCTCTGAGAGTACAGCTGGGTTTGAAGCAGGTCAGTGACGATCTTGCAGGAGGGCGTGGAGCTAAGAATGTGGGGCCCCCCGGAGGGACACGGCCTGTGTCTGGGTCAGCCCCGTGCCCCCTGGGTGGGCGGAGTGACCGCCCCAGGAGGGAGGTGGTGGCCACGGTGACGACGGTGATGGCAGAGACACCACAGCAGTGGCGTCCACCACCGCGGAGGTGTCTGCTTGGGCGCGGGCCCCACGAGGTGCCTTCCTCTGCTCCCCGGCGGCACCGAGGGGCACACAGCCCCACACGCCTACCTGTGGTCCCCAGCCCTTCTGTGGCTGGGAGGACACCAACGCAGTGGCCAGGCGTGTCTAGCAGTGTCCCCTGCCACCCCCAGGCCTGCACTTACCGTGGCTGGCGAGGACCGGGCAGTGTGGGCCAGGGAGTGTCTTGCGCCGTCCATCCCGTGGATGAGGTAGGCGCCAGTGCTGGACACGATGGGGTTCCCTGTGACATCCATGGTGATGCCCACCATGCTGTGAGCAGGGACCGACGGCGGGGATGAGGCTGCCACTGTCACCTGGGTGCCGCCCGGGGCCTCGAAGTAAGAGGCCGCGCTGCTGGGGGCGTACATCTGAGGCTCAGGGTTGTAGGCGTAGGCCGCGCGTCTGGCAGAAAGACAGAAGTCACTCTGGAACCCGGCTCCTCCAAACGCCCTGGCTGACTTTCTAAGGGATCCACCCAACTGCGTGTGCAAGCCACAGGTCCCCAAGGCCGAGTAAGAGGGCCTGCCCACTCACGGGGCAGGAGCTCAAATCCAAGGTGAAGTTCAGAACCAGCGCCTCTGAATGGATTCATGTTCACAGGCTGATTAATGAAAAACCGATCTTTTTTTTTTTTCAGTACCAAGACTCAAACTCATGACCTCAGGCTTGCCAGGCAAGCACTTATGCCACTGAGCAATATCCTCGGCCCCGAAAACCAATCATACAAAAATTCCAAGTGGGCCAGGCATGATGGCTCACACCTGTCATCCTAGCACTCGGGAGGCTGAGGCAGGGGGAGCTGGCAAGTTTGAGCCCAGCCTGGGCTACATATTGAGTTCAAGGCCAGCCTCAACTAGATATCAAGATCCTGTCTCAAAAACCAACAAAGCAAAACAAAAAACAAACCGAAGTAGTGAATAGGTCACATGCAGGAGCTCCTTGGTGCAGACAGGCTAGTTCTGTCTTGTGGTTGTGGTTACACAAACCTACCTGTGAGGTAAAGTGCACAGAAGTAAACACACACACACACACACACACACACACACGTGCAGATACACGTAAAGTCTGGTGAAACTGTCCAATGCCATTTTCCTGCCTTTCATGTCCTGAGGTCACACCGGACACCACCACCGGAAGCTGGGCGGATGGAGGGCTCCGTGCACTACCTGAGGCTATGATTTTTTTCAAAATATAAACCAGGGCTGGGGAGGTGGCTCAGCAGGGGGCGCTTAGCTCCACTCAGCCCTGCGAAAAAGAAGGGGAAACCGCCTAGAAACTGTTAAATAATGACCCTGTCATATGAAGAATTCCCAAGAGACCCCACACAGTCTGGTACCCTTTTAACACCGGGACGTGGGGGTCACCACGCTGAGCTCCTCCTGAGGAACGCAGGCTGTGGCCCAAGGTGGTGGTGGTGGCTTTCCTTCTCGGGGAGTTCAGGTCATGGCGCGTGCTCGGGAGGCCCCAGCGGGACCCCCTACAGGCCTCATTTGGACTTCACCGGTCTTACATGCATGCACTCATGTCTGCATGTGTTTGGGGACAGTTAGTGCCGGGCTTTGGGAAATGACACTTTCCATCTGGCACAACGCAGCCCCCACCCTGAGAAAGGGCTTGGCAAGACCAAAGGAAAAGAGCGAGCAGAAGCCGGACAGGCCGCATGGGGGCATGGACAGGCTTCTGGCCCAGGCATCTCCCGGTGGGGCAGAAAATTCTAGAAGTCTTTGCAGAATGGAAAACCAAGCTTCGTCAACAGCCTAGAAAGCCAGAGTCTAACAAAGACGAGGACGAAAGGGCACCGAGGGCAGTGGCTTCTGGGTCATGAATCCTCAGGTTTAGAAGTTGGATTCTTTGTTTTTTCTGTACTAGAGATTGAACCCATGGCCTTCCCACTGGCTCCACACCCAGCCCCTTTTGTTTTTTGAGACAGGGTCTCACTACTAAGCAGCCCAGGTTGGGCTTGAATTTGTGATCGTCCTGCCTCAGCCTCCCAGAGTGCTGGGATGACAGGCATGCAGCGCCATGTCCAACTTTTTTACTTTATTATTTTTTAAGACAGACTTTCTAGACATTGAACTGATGGCTGTGGTTTCTGAAACCACCGTGGGGTGGGGATGTCCCGGTGGGGGTCGAGGGGCACAAGGGAGAGCTAGCACAGGCGTCCCTGCTGGGAGAGGGCGGAGGCCTGGACGACACGTACATGGCTCCATTCGCATAGACGGCTTCGCCCCCTTCCACATACTGCACCTGTGCGGGGTACACGTGCTGCACGGGCGGGACCTGCAAGAACATCGTGTGGGCGCTCCACGTCACAGGCGGCACTTCCTGTCGTCTCAGGTCAGCATCTCGAGCCTCAAGTGTCTCCTCTTCCCTTCTGTGGACACTGAGGACCACGTCACCCCGTCCCCTCCCACGGCCAGCTCTTTTATATGCTAGGAGACATCAGGGCAAGACGAGATTCCAGCGGCGCCGGGCGGTGACAGCCACCGGGACCCACAGAGCCTGGCTGCGTTCTCTGCTGCCCTACTGGGGGACACGAGACCAGCACCCCGGGTCTGTACACACCGGGGCAGATGAGGAGGACCCTGGCTGCCAGCTCCTGCGGCAGAGCCAGAGCCGCGACAGAACCAGCCCTGGGTGCCACATGGGTCCTGGCCCCATGGAAGGGGCCATGGCCAGGGTCCAGGTCAGCCCTGAGCCCCATGGTGGACCCCAGCAGTGGGACTTCAAACTCCTCCTGGGCAAGGGACCCTGCCAGAGGCCCAGGCCTCTGATTTGGAGGAGAGGCTGCAGGGCCCCGGGGTGACCCTCCTCCGAGCCTTCGTTTACAGCACACTTCCCCAGGGACCCCAGCATCACCACCTACACATCCCCAGGGCATGGTCACTGAAGAAGCCCTGGGGAGACCTCCCTTCCCAGGGGAGGCAGCGGTAGCCTGGGGACCGGGTAGGTGCAGGTCACCAGGGAAGCTTGAGTCACCCACAAAGAGCAGGGCTAGGCCCAGCTCCTGCCCGGGGTGGGGTGGCCACTTCCAGAGTCATACTCTGGTAAAACTTTTTGTTGTTGTTGTTGCTGGGGATTGAACCCAGGGACTTCCCACTGAGCTATACCTGCAGCCCTTTACTTATTTTTTATTTCAAGACAGAGTCTTGCTAAATCGCTCAGCTGGGCTCAAACTTTTGATCTTCCTGCCTCAGCCTCCCAGAACCTCCCAGAGTGCTAAGGTGACAGGCGTATGTCTCCCTACCTGGCTACACACTGTGCCTAGAGAGGGCCTTGATAGAGACAAGCCCCATGCCAGGGTCCCTGGCCTGGGTCCCTAGGTCCCTGCTGAGCCTGCCCAGAATGTCTGCTTGTTTCCTGAGGTCCTACGAGCCTTCCAGCACCTGTGAAACCACTGGATAACAGACAGCCGGAAACATACCACTAGGCTACACAGAGACCTCAAAGAGTCTGCAGACTGCCCCGAGGGCCAAATCTGACCGTGCTCTCTCTCTCTCTCTCTCTCTTTTTTTTTTTTTTTAATTAATTTGAGGCAGAGTCTCACTATGTGGTGCAGGCTGGCCTTGAACTCACAGCACTCCTCCTGCCTCAGCAACCTGAGTGCCGGGATTACAGGCATGTGCCACAACTAGCCCCTCGTGTGTTTTTATTTGTATTTTTAGTTTTAGGGGTTTTTTTTTTGTTTTTTTTTTTTTTTGCGGCACCGGGGATCAAACTCACAACCTTGCACTTGCCAGGCAGGTGCTTATGCCACTGAGCTAAATCCCCAGCCCCTCCTCATGTGTTTTTGTAAATAAAGTTTTATTGGTACACATCCAGGCTTACATATGGATTATGGCTGCTTCTGTGCTACAAAGACAGAGGCCAATGGCTTCATTTGAGACCCTCTGACCATGAAGCCAAAAGATGCAGGGTGAGGCTGCCCCGAGCTGGTAGCTGGCCGCTGCATGGCTGTCAGCCCACACCTACAAGCTTCGTTCTGAGATAAACTGTTCAGGAGACCATCTCTTCTGTCAATGCACCATCTGAGGGGGCAACACCTGTCTGTGTGTGCGTCTGCCTCCCCCAAGGGCCTATGTGCCTTCCTCCACGCGGACTGGGTCCTTGCCTGCTCCCCAGATGTGGCTGAATTTATGAATGAATGAAAGATCGCCACCTTTCTTCGCTCATGGAGAACTACCTGCAGTAGAAGAACTTTCTGGGTAAGTGAATGTACCAAGCAAAAAGAAACAGCAAAACTGGGCATCGTGGTGCACACCCTTCATCCCAGCACTCTGAGAGGCTGAGGCAGGAGGACTGCACGTTTCAGCCCAGCCTGGGCAACTTAGTAACATTCTGTCTCAAAATTTAAAAGATACATTAAAAAGGGCTGGGGATACAGCTCAGCGCAGAGGCCCTGGTTCAATTCCAAGGGAAGGGGAGCGAGAAGATAAGGGACAGGAGGAGGCGGAGGGAGGGGGAGGGAGTGGCTGCATCCATCAGAGATGGTCCTGGATGCCAAGTGCCAACCGTGCCCTGAGCAGAGGCACGACCTTACCTGCTGTGGCACCTGCGGAACTCTGGGGAGGGACAGTGGCTGCATCGGGGCCCCCTTGGGCACAGGGCCTGCCGCCTGGACCAGCACCCTCTGAAAGTGAAGGGGCAGACGGTCAGCCGCGCTGCGGGGACCTTCACCACAGCCTCAGCCAGCGCCGCCACCTGCTTGCCCACCCCCACACGCCTCAGCCCGAGGTTGTGGGGCTGACGGAGGAAGCAGGTGACACAGACACGCTCGCGCTCACGCTGGGCTGGGAGGGTGCAGTCACGTGCGTGCAGACACACAGCCCCCGTGCGCTCAGCGTGAGCGCACACACATGCGCGTGCGCCCGCGAGGCCTGCCGTCTGGCGAGGTGACACCGGCTGTCCCGGCACAGCAGGGCTTGCTGGGTGGGGACGGACTCCGGAGACTGCCGTCTGCACGGCCCCCGTGAGCGCTCTGTGGCACTGCACTTTTACAGGTCGCACTGGGCCTTACAGAGTGCCGATCGATCGGACACAGAACTAAAGGGCCACAGGGGGCCGCTGGGGCACAAGAGGAACGGGTGCCGTGTGCTCGTTTATCCTGAGCTGCGGCTTTCGAGGGCACCAACCAGGAAGCTGTGATTTTCCCAAGTGGACCCTGAACGTCACTGACGTGGTGTCTGTGTGTCTGCGGCGCTGTGCGTGGGAACACCAAGGGGCGGGGGTGAGCGAGGACGCACGGTCTCCAGCACGCAAGGGTGACCCACTGGAGAGAAGGCGCCCGAAGGGCTCCACCCGAGGGTGTCTGTCACAGCTGAGTCGGGCCTGGAGACGAGAACTCACGGGCACCGGCCAGCAGGAGCTCGCGGCAGCACCGAGCACAGCCCGGACACGTGACACGAGCAGAGGTGTGGTCAGCGGCAGGCTCTGTCCCCACGCTGGGTTATTATACAGCCAACAGAGGCGCGGCTGTGACACCCGCCGCCGCGGGACGGACCCCGACCTGTACTCAGCGCGAGATGCCAGACAGCGTGGGCTCCGTGGACAGGGAACGCCCAGGACGGGCGCCTCCAGAGGCAGGAAGTGGACTCGGGTGTGCGCTGGGGAGGGGGCGGGTGAGTGCTGAAATGTTCCAGAACTTGCTAGGAGTGCTGGCTGTAGAGCTCTGGCTATATTAAAAACCACTGAATCATCCACTTTAAAATGATTAATTGTACGATGTTCTGTGAACTGCACCTCAATTTTAAAAATAATTATGAATATTATTAAACTAGATATCATGGTGCATGCCTGTCACCTCCAATACTTGAAAGGCCAAGGCAGGAAGGTCACTTGAGGCCAGCCTGGGTGACACAGTAAAACCCCAACTCAAAAGGGAACAAAAATATATATAAAATTTCCCACCACTCGGGAAGCTGAGGCAGGAGGATCCTTGTGAGTTCCAGGCCAGCCTGGGCTACATACACTTACAAAATTTTACACACGCACAGCAACACAGAGCAGCGGGAGGCAGGGGTTTCGAGCTGTGTAGCCGCCTGGCCACTGATGCAGAATTTGGTGCAAAGAAGTGGGTGGAGCCCAAGGCCTCAGCCACACAGACCCCCGCCCGCGCCTGGGCCCATGGGAGACAGGGCAGGGTGGGGCAGGCAGGCAGGGTTGGCCAGGACAGAAGTGGTCGCCCTGGTGCAGCGTGGGAGGCAGGAGGGCAGGGGCAGGGACCCCGGGCAGCGCTGCAGAGAGGGGCAGCACCGGCGGCAGGGCAGATGTGGCGGTCACGGCAGCCGGCCTCTGCGAGTCCCCCGCTCCAGGGCGCAGGGCGGGCAGGGCGCAGGGGAAGGGGTGGGTGAGGGTCGGTGTGGACAGCAGCATCTGACCCCACCGTCCTGTACCCCCTGGGCCCAAGCTTTCCTGCCAGGCTGCCCCAATTCCAAGGAACGAAGCTACAGGAGCCTCATTATCCACTCTAAAGGGAACGAGCTGTCCTGTGTCTGCTTTTTGTTTTTGCTGAACTACGCTTTCTTCATCTGAATCATTTCTTCTTTCTGTGTTCCTGTGAGATCATAATCACGGGCGATCCTGGGCCACAGCGGAGCTCTGCACGCTGCCCGAGCTTCCAGCTTTTCCTCGTCTGCTCCATGGGCTCATGGGCTCCCTCTGTGTGTGTTGATTTTTTCTTTTTGTTGTTGTTTGTTTTGATTTTTCTTTCTGAGATAGGGTCTTGCTGTGCAGCTTAGGCCATCTTCCTGCCTCAGCCTCCCAAATGCTGGGACTACAAGAGTGCCCAGAGTGCCCCCTGGTGTCCAGTTTTGGGTTGTTTTTTTTTTGAGACAGGGTCTTGCTATGTAGCCCAGGCTGGCCTTAACTTTGAGGCAATCCTCCTCCCTCAGCCTCCTGAGCGCTAGGGTTACAGGTGTGGCCCACAATGCCCACATGTCCACATTTTTATGATTTATTTCAAGCCATGGGAGCCACCCAGGCACAAACACAGCCTGAATTTGAAAACGTTCTTTGCCAACTTTAAAGAATATATTCATCTTCTTTTTATTTTTCTTGCATTTTGAGGCAGGATCTCACTATGTAGTTTAGTTTGGTCTTGAACTCACTGTGTATCCCAGGCTGGCCTTGAATTCTCAGTGATCCTCCTGCCTCAGCCTCCAAGTGCTGGGATCACAGGTGTGTGTTACCACATCCAGTCAAAAATATATTCACTTTTTCATGCTAGCCTCCATTCTGAACCAAATCCTCAGACGTCTAATCTACTTTTGCCTGTGCACAAAGTCTTTCTGTGTACAAGGCTCATTAGCAAGGTACAAGAAAACCTGCACTGAAAGAAAAGAAGGGACGGCTGGACTCGGGGTGGGGCTGTTGTTTCTTACTGAGTTTTTATCATGGTTTCTTTGGAGGGCCTTTTTTTTTTTTTATTTTTTTTGTGGCCCTGGGGATGGAACCCAGGGCCTTCACACTGAGTTTCCATCCCAGCCCTCTTTATTTCTCATTTTCAGCGTCGCTATGGACACAGCGTCCCCCGGGTGCAGCTCCGCCGACAGCCAGGCGGGGCGCTGCGAGTCTGCGGAACGCAGAGCCCCCTCCGCAGAGCTTTGGCTCAGGGACACCGCGCATTCGGGCGCGCGGGGCGGTTACCTGCGGGGAGGCGGGCACCGGCTGGGCTGCAGCTGCCGCGGGTCGCAGAGCCACGGACGCGGGCGAGTCTGCTCCTCCCTCGGAACTCTGCATGCTCCTTCTAGAGAGAGGGACAGACAGGAGTGGGCGAGGGGCCGCGAGGAGCTGGGGGTCGCCTCCGTTCTCCAGGGCGCCGGGCGGACGCAGCCCCGCGTGCCCTCCCCGCACGACAGCGCCTCCGCTTTGCACGCCTGACCAGGCGCGCCGCCCCGAGGGGCCGGAACAACCCTCCATTCGCCTTCCCAGCAATCAACAGCTCCTGGAAGACGGCTGTCACTTGGGAAGCTACTGCAACGATCTACCCTGACCAGTGGTATCTGGGGCTGGACTGTTTTGGAGCAGAGTCTCGCTATGCCGCTCAGGCTGGTCTTGGACTCACTGGGGAGCCCAGGCTGGCTCCAACGCACTGCGATGCTCCTCGTGCTTTGTCTGGGGGTGCTGTGTGGCGCTCACAGGTTCCTGGGCCTCTACCCACTGGATGCCAGCCCCCCCCCACGACAACCGCGAATGTCCAAGACCTTGCCGGAGCCCTCAGGAGGCAGTCACCCCCCGGTCTGGGACCCCCGGCCTCGGTGCTACACGGATGATCTGCAGAGAGGCCAAAGAAACAGCACATTCTGCGGTCCATGGACGCCCTCAGGAATTCCGGGAGAAAGCAAAACCGCTTTCTGCTCCTGGAGTTCTGCGCCCACAGCACGCAAGTCTGTTCCCTCGCTGTCAGATGCATGCAGCTGTCGAAAAGGGAGCCCGCATTTTTATTTTTTGTTGCGGTGCTGGCTATGGAAACCGGGGCCTCCACACCGAGCTACATCCCCTGCCTGTTTATTTTGAGACAGGGTCTTGCTAAGTCACTGAGTTGCTCAGGCTGGGCTTTAACTCCTGTCTCAGCCTCCCAGAGTGCTGGGATTGCGCCACTGTACCCAGCTGTCTGTGTGTGCGTGTGCGTATGCGTGTGTGAGTGTGGTGTGTGTGAGAGAGAGAGGGAGAGAGACTGGTAACACATTAAACGGATTCTCGTAGGGACAGCGGACAGGGGTGCGCGCGCGAGCCCACGTATGCTGGTCTAATCTCGGGTTCATCACGGGGCACAGTTCTGACTCCCCTGACACAGCCCCAGGCCAGTGTGTCCGGCCTTTTGTCTGGCCGCGTAAGCCCGGCTCGTTGACCACTAGGTGGCGCCAGAGCTACACGCGCCGCCGCAGCCGCGGGTCTCTGAAGACCCGCCTCCCGCGCCCTCCTCCGCAGCTCTGACCGCTGGGAGGAGTTTGCTGGAGGTCTCGGTCTCATTTTTCTCTAAACGTTAACAGCAGTCTTTTCCACGCGGTCACCGCTTCGTCCCACACGATGCTGAGTGGGGCGACGTCAGCGGCGCTGCAGAACTGAGTTCCAAGAATCCACCCGTGACAAAGCGAGGAGCGGACTCGGCAGCGCCAGGTCCTTGTCCTACAGGCAGCAGTGACCTTGCTGCAAGGTGCAGGTTACCCAGTGCCACACGTCCGTCCTCCCTCCCTCCCTCCCTTTCTTTCTCTGCAGCACAGGAGATGGGGCCCAGGGTCTTCTCGCTGAGCTGCACCCTTAGCCCTTTCTTATTTTCTGTTTCGAGACAGGGTCTCACTAAGTAGCCAAGTTACCCAGATTGTCCCGGACTTGAGGTCCTCCTGCCTCAGCCTCCCATCAGAGCCTCCCCCATTCAACACGCTATTTACTGTGTACTGTGCTGAGGATACACACCCCAGGGTGCACAGCGTGGGTGGCAGAAGGTTGGGGGATTCCTGGAGGAGGGAGAAGCAGAGGGCGAGTCCTCAGATCTGCCTACAAATTCCACTCATTTCAGATCGATTGGCTGGACCTGCCAGAGGGCCTAGGGAAACCAGCAGCTCAGTGCCGAGAATCCTAGGCAGAGGCTTCAGCAGCTGCCGAGGAGGCCGCAACGCGGGAACCCAGCGGGCCAGCTGCCCTAAGGGGATGCGCAGCGTCCAGAGCGCGCTGCCCACGCGCAAGGGAAGAAAACGGGGCTCACTGTCCAAACTCTCGGTAACCAGGTGGTTCCGGGCGTCTGCCAGCAAACAGGAATAGCTACTGAGCAGGTCCTGGGTGACAGGCAGTTACATAATGAACGAGCATTTGGCAACCTTACCCACAAACACAAACTACTAAAAAGGGCCAAACAGCGCTGCTGTCCTGGCGCACGCCTGTCATCCCAGCCCTAGAGAGGCTGAGGCGAGAGGGTCCTGAGTTCAAGGCCAGCTTGGGCTACAGAGCCAGTCTGAGGTCAGCCTGTTATGTATATAGCAAGACTAAATAAAATAAAATGACCAAATAGAAATGTAGACGTTCTGGATAGTAAATCTCAGCACATTTCAAAACACTGAAGCCACACCGAGGAGGCACAGACTTTGTAAAGGGTTCAGACATCAATAAGGTGGCTTGAAAAATGCCAAGGGTTTGGAAAATGTTAAACGCGCTATTAAAGTTATCCGCAGGTCAAAGAATAAGCCACGAGAGAAATCTGAGGTTTTTTAAAGTGGATGATCATGAAAATATCACCTATTAAAATTTGTTATTGCCTAACAAATATTAAGTCAAAAAAATTGGGTTGAAAGCAGTGCTTAGGAGGAAATGATTAGCTTTATATTAGAAAAAATGCAAAAGAATCCATCATTTAAGTTTCAATTTTACTAAGCTATAAAAAGGGCAGGTGTGGTGGTATAGACCTGCAGTCCCAGCACTCTGAGAGGCTGAGGCAGGAGGATCACAAATTGGAGCCCTGCCTGGGCACACAGTGTTAGCAAAACCCTGTCTCAAAATAAGAACTAAATGGACTGGGGTTGGAGCTCAGTGCGAAGGCCCTGGGTTCAACTGTCAGTAATGGGCAGAAAAAGCTATGAAAAATAAGTAAGTGAAACTCAAATCGTATTAAAAAAAAAAAAAGAACAAAATTTAAGATAAAATTTCAACAGTAGAGAAAATGAAAACACAATTCTTCACAACTGAAGTGAGCTATCAAGCCACGAAGAGCTCTGGAGGAAAATTAAGCATTTATTACACAGAGAATGATGCCGGAGGCTGCACACTGTGCCATGGGGCCTGCACACCGTGTGATCGAGGCTGACTTCCGGAAAAGGCAAAAAAAAAAAAAAAAAACCCCGAGAGCTAGCAGGAGACCGGAAGTTGTAGCAGGTCACAGGGCGGGCAGGACCAGACAGCGCATGGAGGGTTCTAGGGCAGGGCCATCACTCGTTACGACACGATCATGGCGGAACCACTCAAGGAACCACCGTCCAGACTCAGGACACTCGTCTGGAGAAAGCCTTCAACTGGACGTGGGGCCGCACACTGTCATCCCAGCGCTCTGCGAGGCTGAGGCAAGAGGATCACAAGTTCGAGCCCAGCCCGGGCAATTTAGCAACTTTGAGAGCCTGTCTCGAAATAAAAGTAAAAAGGTCTGCAGATGTAGTTCAGTGTGAAGGCCTTGGGTTCAATCCCTAGTGACTCACGGGAGGGAGGGAGGGAGGGAAGGAAGGAAGGAAGGAAGGAAGGAAGGAAGGAAGGAAGGAAGGAAGATCGATCATGAAAAGGTAAGCAATAATCTGGGAGAAAGTGCAAAACACACATCTGAGAAAGTGCTCTTATTAACCACAACGTATTTTTTAAACTCTACAATTCAATAACAAGACAAATAACCTAATAGTAAAAATGTGCAGACTTGAACAAGTGCTTCACAAAGAAAGATACATAAGTTGCCAAAAAAAAAAAAGCATACAAAATAGCACTGAGCCTGCAGGTCATTAGGGAAATACCAGTCCCCGCCAGGAAAACACACAGGCGCTAAGCACTTCCCTCACTGACTAAATAAACAAGTCTGCCGGTCTGAGGGAACCTTCCCACGTTCCTTGCGGGATGCGAAACGATACAACTGTGCGGGAAAAGGGGTTGGCAGTCGCCTAAAAAGTTAAACATTTCCATTACCACCCCCCTTCTCCTAGGTATTTATCCAAGCAACAAGGAAACATCTGTCTGTAAACAGAAAACAACTTTGTAGAAGCAAGTTCATAGCAGGTATTCACAACAGGCAAGTAGAACGCAAACCCAAAGGGGCCTCAGCAGCGAGGAGGAGACACTGAGGCCCTGCCGATACCAACTCCTACAGAGACGGGGCACAGCTAAAACGCAAGCGGGATGTGGGCCGGACCACTCACTCACGGGAGGGGCGAGCTGTCCATACGCACAGCGTGTGCCTAAATCTCAGTCACTATGCTGAAAGCAGAGGGAGTTATCGCGAGGAAGGAGCAAAACTAAAGGTGAAAAACCCGAAAAGGCCTGGTGGGCGGGACTGAGCTTCCAGGGAGACGCCCACTCTGGGCGATAAGGGAGCGCGGTCATGAGGTTACGCTGAGCAATCATTTGTCAAAAGTCAGCCAAAGAAAGACTTGTGTACTTGCTGAATGTGCGTGTTAACAATAAAAAATATAAAAATAGCGGAGTGGGGAGTAAGTGGGGATATACAGGTGGCATAAGAATAGAACAGTAGCTGGGCGTGGTGGCACACGCCTGCCTTGCCAGTGCTTGGGAGGCTGAGGCAGGAAGATGGCAAGTTCCAGCCCAGCCTGAGCAATTTAGCAGTTTAGTGAGATCCTGTGTCAACAGGGCTGAGGAGTTAGTGCTTTGGTTCCAAACCTCAATACTGCAAAAGAAGGGAGGGAGGGAGGAAGGCTGAAAGAGAGAGAAAGAAAGAAAAGAGTGCTGATAACTGCTGAGGGCCACGGCCACACTGGATGCTAGGTGTTTCACACTGGACAACCTTTGCATTGTGTGTGTACTTTATAGGTGTTTCCATGACCAAAGTGAAACACACACACACACACACACACACACACACACAGCTGTCAGCTCATGAGGGTGCACAGACCACAAGCCAGGTCCCCTCTGTCCCTCTCAGGACTAGACTCTCCCTTCGGCCCACAGTATCCACGCTGCTGATGCTACCCGCCCGTTAGTCACTGTGCAGCTGGCCCAGTGACCAGATCAACTGTTTGCAGTGTCTGTGCCTGTGTTGAAGGGGGATGCTTACTTCACTTCTTCATCTTTATTTTTATTTTTATTTTTTTGAGACAGGGTCTCACTCAGTAGTCCAGGCTGGTCTTAAACTCAGTATGTACCCCAGGCTGGCCTTGAATTCTTGGCGATCCTCCTGCCTCAGCCTCTCAAGCGCTGGGATCACAGGAGTGCCTGGTTTACTCTACTTAATAGTGACCCCAAAGCACAAGAGAGGTGAGGCTGGCAGTTCAGGACAAAGAGCAGCCGGGAAGCGCTTCTTCTAAATGAAAAGGTGAACGGTCTTGACTTAGTAAGGCCCTATGCCGAG